GGATACTTCCTTCAGGCGATCTTCCTGAGGGGTTCACAGCACCCAGCCTCTTCCCCCATCAGCAATCACCATCATTCCCAACATTCCTTGTACCAGACCCAAATCATTCCAGAGATTCCTCACACCAGGCCCAAACGTACCAGAGTTAATTTTGCTTCATTCTGTTAATCCTGCTACAGTGATTCTACATTAGATTACTAAAATAGCCAGATCCAGCTGTCTGAACAACTGAGCAAACTAACATAATGGTCTCTAATATTTTTCCTGTAGTTTGATTTTGAAACTCTGGGAAAGACTTGCTGTGCTCTGGGAGTCTGCTTTTAGTACATGCTGCTCCATTAAAAAGGTTTTCAAACACCAACACTTGGGAAAAGAAAAAAATTGAATCATTCCAACTCTTTGTTCACAGCAGTTTGTCTTGTTTTGCATTAGCTACACATTAAAGGTTTGTGGGATACTGCAAGTTCCAGGTGAAGAAAACACAAGCCCCTTCCTCTGTAAGGCACATAACATCATACTTAATTTGATTACTGTATTTCTGCCTCCTGCATAAAGCCAATAAGTTTCTCTGCACTTTTCATCTCCTTATCTATCCTAATCTCTTCCAATTCTCATTCTGACTTCACTGTGACACCTCCTTATGGATGACTACCCTCAAAATCCAAATGGATAAAACAAAACACTCAAAACATCCATAAGTTTCTACACTCAATTCATCCCCATGATCTCTTTTTGCAACCTGTGAAAGAAACACTACCTTCAATCTGTTATTCTGAAGCCTGATCCAAACAGAGCTCTTTCCCAGGTCTCATACTTTTCAGCTCTTTCAGACACCACCTTATGGAAGCATTTCACAGGTACAGCTTATCCAGGCCCTAAGGACCAGTCAGAACAAGGGTTGAGCACAAAGCACGTACCTCTCCTCTCAGCAACCACACCCAGGCTTGCATTTCCAACCTGGAGGACTTCCAAAGTCCCGAAGCTCCTCTTTGCATCTCCTTAGCCTCTACCACATCAAACACAAGCTAATTGCCTCGGCTTCCAAAGTGGCCAGCCACTCCCTCTACCACCTCCCTCTTATCTCCTATAAGATTAGGGGGCTATTTCATGCTTTTGGTGCTGCTATGACACCAATTTCCAATGTGCATTTTTTCAATTACACATTTTTATTCTTTCACCCCAGCCGCTCCACAGGCATGGTCAGCCCTCCAAACTTACCACTGAATTGTACCAGACTCTTCCTCCCCAATTGGAAAAGAAGTATCTAACAGGAATCAGATACTGCTGAACTAGAGGAACTCCACAGCCTCAGACCAAGTATCTCAAACTGGGGTTCCCAGAGACACAGTCTAGGGACTTCCCTTGAATAAGCTTAGTTTTACCACTGCTAACGTAGTATTTTCAGGCTGACTCAGCTCCCTCACCAGAACACAGTTGTTTAAACAGCAGATGTAAGTCTGCCCCAGCTGTTATTTGTCAGGAACTCAGACAATAAGACACTGACATCTCAGCTGGTAACCTCTTAAGAAGAGACAGTTCCAACTATTTACTGTCTAGCACACACTTGCTCTCATTACAACACAGGTAGCATAATCAAGTTACTACTCAGAAATGGAAGCACCCTGAAAACAGTTTGAATGACTCGCTGTTCAAGTGGGGGCCCTCGCATGCCAGCAAGCCAGGAATCTACCACACCACATTTTCAAGACATCAATCAAGCCATCAATAAAATATTTTCTCTGACAAACCTAGATTTTGATGCAAGAATAGCTTATTAGCATGCCTGTATTGTTCCAGATTCTCTCTCTGGAAGTTTTCCTACACTGTTTCAGGTAGCTGTTCCAACAGAGCTTGGCTCCTTCCACAGGGCCACAGAAAGAAACCTGTATTAAAGCTGCCGCCTTGAACTAACGAATAAAATAAAAGTGGCATGTGCGTGATTGTCACTGTTAGCTGCAATGTTGGTAGGATGACACTGCTATCCCAGTGTTGCCCACATGGCTTGAAGTCACCTTCTGTCCCATGGGAGGGCACCACACTGGCATTTTTTTCCATCTTTTCGATGCTTAGCATCAAAATTAGAAGTTGGATGGAGAGCCACATCACTGCTACGAACAGAGAAGGTGCTCACAAAATAGAGATGCCTAAACCAATCCAGCCACATGCCACCACCAACAGAAGCGTCACCCAGCTTCATGTCCAACTGCAGCCACAAGATCCTGCCTGCTCCCCTATACCTGCAGCTTCTGCTGAGTCCCAGAATCTCAGAAAATCAGCAGAGAATGACCTTGCCAAAGAACTGGAACAGTTTTCCAGGGGCTTAGCTCCTTGAACGAGCTCGCACAGTGTCAGATGCATTAAAGGAGAAGCTGCAGGTGCTCTGGGGAGGAAGCAGGAGCACATGAACCACCTCACTGGACATCCCCATGGCTTTTGTCAGCTCAAGACATCAAAGGTTTGTCTGGCCTTCTTCGAGACCGAAAGGATCTTGTTCGCATTTCTGACACTATTGAAATCTAGTAAATCCTTCTCAGGCCAAGCTTCAGGCCTCCATGCTGCTCAGAACAGTCTGCCCCTGAGGTTTCAATGAGTTTTCACCAGCTCACTGCTACCAACAGAAGAAGTTTTTTTCATTTCCCCTCCTGCCCTGCTGGAAGTGCTTGTCTCCTGGTTCTTGGTCTTACCTCTACAATGTAGAAGTCAAATGAACTCACAAGCAGATCAGGAAAATGGTCCAGCAAGAATAAATTTCAGTTTCCTGAAGGGTTAGTCAGTTTAACCTGCTTACAAAAAGGCAAGGTTAGGACTCAACACAGCCAAGTGAGACTGCATCATTTGAAGCAAAACAAGGAAGAACAGGGGAAGAAGAAAAGGAGGGGTCAAAGAGCATTGCTGCTAAAACAGCAATGAGGTAACTCCACCAAAATCAACATTCTGTAGAACCATACTCTGCCCCTTGGTTTCAATAGGACCTCAGGTGTCAATTTATTGATCTGATTAATTCAGTTCAGGCAGATGAATGGATTAGTACCATCAGGATGTCTCACACTTCCCTGCAGAGATGGCTTCCCACAGTGGGGTGGCTATGCAAGATAAGGAGCAGCTCCTCCACTGCCAGAATTTAAGTCTTGAAGGAGCAGCTCCTCCACTGCCAGAATTTAAGTTTTGTCTGCTACAGTAAAGAAACCCACCAATTTCAAGTCCTAGTACTGTAACAGGCTAGAAACTCTGGAGTTGCTTTGTGTGTAATTCACCAGGAACTTTTGAGAAGACTGGGTCAACAGCTGAGGTACTCGCCACATGAGCCCACATTTATCCTGCTGTGTTCACAAGCCAGTGCCCAAAAGGCTCCTAAATATCCCTTGCTCTGTAGAAAAGTGCTATCCAGGGTCCTTGGGCTGTAGAAGTGAGCAACACCAAAATATACAGCCTCCCTTTTGGTAACCAGGACATCCAAAAACTGGTACCTGGCTAAAGAGTCGCATGTAAATAACAAAACTGCTTAATAACTACACATTTTTTCCTTTCTAGAAGAAAAGGCGAAGAGGTTTTCATCTTGTAAAAAATGCAACTATGTCATGAAAGAAATTTAATTAAATATTTCAAGGATTTCACATCACAAAAGAAAGCACAACTTCTGAGATTTTATACCCTGTATAAGACTAGTCGTTTAAACAGTTTATTTATTCATTGCCTTGCCAAGGCATACTCAAGTTGGATTCCACTGAAATCAGTTTCCAAAATTTTTTCTTCTAAAAGGGTTATAATAAGCATTTTAATTTAGAAAATGCAAAAAAGGAAGACCACCCTCCAAAAGATTCCCAATCTTCCACAAACAAATTAACTATCTTACAGATTTCTCTAGGGGCACTGCAAGACCTGGTAATTTTCAAATTCAAAGAGCTGGAAGGAATACTGATGAAAAACTGTCACAAATCTGCATGAAGTTACTTTACTTTAGTAAGACAGACTAAATGAGACAAAAAAAGTATGACTAAACTTTATTAAAACCTATTTTTCTTTTTATGCAATGTAATGGAAGGCAAAACCAGCTGTTTTAGAACAGCAGTAATAAAACTTCTTATAGCAGTAAAATGGTAATAGAACTTCCCCAATTTTAAACAGCTCTACTTGAATAATCAGGCAAAAATCTACTAGAAGACATTTTTTCCTAAATCTTAGAAGACATAAAACATAGTATTAATAATAATCTGTACCTGAGAACAGTTAATGCGATTCTCTTTTTTAGAGGGTCTTAGTTCCCATAACTGGATAAACATGGCTATGAATATGACATCTCTTCTTCAAGTCAAATTATCTTAAATTTTCAACAACCACAACAGTCAAATGCTTGCCCAATATAAAGTCCCTCTTTTCTAAACATCAGCATCTGAATTCTAAAATCGTCCAACAAAATTGCTAAATATTTTGTTAACCAACACCAATCCCCAGTGCTTATTTAGTTAAAAAAAAAAAAAAAAATCAGTTAATTTAAAGTTCATTCGCAATGTGGTTTTCAAATCTGTCAAAACACGCACAAGGAGGTCTAGTGGCAGCCAGGAACTATGGGAAATTCAACTTGAAAGTTAAATCTGAACCACAAGGTCAAAGAAACAAAGTCATAACCGGTTCTCAAGCTCTAATACACCCACGCACCAGTCACAGAAACTTCGGAGTCTCCCTGCTCTGAGCACCCAAACTCTGAAGAGCCCAAAGAAGGGGATCTCGGCAGAACGTGGTATTATTTCTCCCCTCACAAACTCCCTAATGCCACACTATGTAAACACCCAGATGCACATAACCTCTCTTTCAGTCCCAAAATCCCCTAAACGCGCCTATTCCAGAGGGATAAATGGGTTCATTCATACTCTATTTTTAAACACCAGACATGCTTTAAAAGAATTTCTTTCAATTCTTCTTTATTTTAAATCACACATACCTAGGGCTCCTTCGCTCCCCACGGGCTGGGAGTTCGGGAGTCCCTCCCCCATTGCCCCCGATGCGGTACGACAGCGGGCCGCACCAAAGGCACGGCTCCAGCCCTCGCCGCCGACACCGCCGCCCCTTCCCCGCGGCGGCGGCTCAGGTGAGCCGGAGCCCCGGGGTGCGGACGGGGCGGGAACGGGGGCACAGCACGGCTGGCGCCCAGCCGAAGGCACGGCCGAGCCGCGCCCCGACGCGCCTCCCACCTGCTCCCGCGGGAGGGGAGAGGATGGAGCGGGGGGGCTGCGGAGAGCCGCGGCGATCCGGCCGAAGGACCGCAGTCAGGAGGCTCCTTGGCGCAGACCTCGCCGCGGGTGGGTGCGGCTCCTCTCGCCCCGGCCGCACACAAAAGCGGCGGCGCCCCCGCAGCCGCCCTCGCCCCCCGCCCCGCCGCTGCTGCCGCCGGCGGGAGTTTTATGACTGCGGCGCCGGCCGTGGCGCAGCCCCGGCCCCGCCGCGCCCGCTCCGTGCCCGGCCCGGGAGGTGCCCAGCGCTGCGGCAGGTGGCCGCGGCCGCGGCGGGAAACTTTCCCCGGCCCGGGGGCGCGGCGGGCGCCGCCGCCTCGCGTCCCCCCCCTCGCCTCCCCGCCGCCGCCCCTGCCTTACCTTGGCGGGCTCCGCTGGTGGCTGGGGCTCCGCGGCGTCTTCCGCCGGCAGCGGCTCTGGGGGAGTGCCGGGGGGCTCGGCGGCGGCCCCGGCCCCGTCCTGCGGGGCGGCCGGCTCGGCGGAGCTGCCGGCGCCCATGGCGCTGCCCCGCGGCCGTGCGGAGCCGCGGGCTGGCGGTGGGCGGCGGCGGCGGCAAAGCCGGGAATGAAGGAGCCCGGCTCTCCGCAAACTCCTTTAGGACGCGACAGGGGGGAAATTAAAAAAAAAAAAAACAAAAAACAAACAAAAAAAAGCGGGGGGGGGGGAGGGGGGAGGGAAAAAAAAGCGCGAGCAAGAGCAGCAAGGAAAATCACCTCCTCCCCTGGTCCCCCCGCCCGCCTGCCTCTTGCTCCATCACATGAGCAGATCCCCGGACACGCCTTGCAGCATCAAACCGGGCTGATAAGGAGCGGCCAAGGGGGGCAGCGCCCTACCCGCCGCCGCTGCCGCCTCTCCCCGCCCCTCCCGGGCACCTTCGGGGCGGGGGCGCCGCCCGGCCCCGGCCCTCCCGCCGGCAGCGCGGCGCTGACTCAGCGCTTCGGCCCCCTCGCCGCTCTCCCGGCACCGGGACCAGCGCCCACCCGCCGGCACCCTCAGGGCTCCGGCCCCGCCGCGCTGCCCCTCGCCGCCGCGGGCCTCCTGCCCCGGGCGCTCTGCTCCGCGGCCACCAGCCCTCAGCGCCGCGTCCGGACCTCAGCCATGCTGGGCCTGCCTGAGGGATGCCCAGGTTTCAGAAGATGCAGAAATGTAGGGTCCCATGTCTTGGGCAACTTTGAAGAAACAAAACAAAAACAAAAAAAAAATCATGCCGCCTTTTTGGTTTTTGGACTTCTTTTTGTTTGTGGGTGGTTTTTTTGGTTGGTTGGTTTTTATTGTCATGCAGGATAGGTTCCCAGTTATTAATTCTTGCCAGATCCTGGCACAAGCAAGCAAAGCCAAGAACAGGGTAGTTTCTCTCCTAGCCCAAAATACACAAAGCATCTTTCCCGTGCCGCAAAAGCAGGACCACATGTATGTAGACGTGCTCTTACCTGGTACTTTCAAAGGGATCAGCAGTGAAATAGTGCACAAAATGAATTAAGCTAACCACAATGTGCCAAACTGATGGCAAACAGATCCATTAACTGTTCTTCACTGTAAGTATAAATTTTTTTCCAAAACATATGCATGTACCTGTCCTATACAGAGTTCATTATTAAAATCGAGACTGGTCTGAAGAATTCAAAGTACAGATACAATTTCTTTTATAACATTTAAACCAGTCCTCACCCACCAAAGCACTGTTTCATTCAGAAAAGAAAAAAAAAAAAATTTTGAAAAAATTCCATTCTACAAAAAACCTAATATTCACATGCTGGTCAGTTTTTTCCCTTAAAAAATCAACACACATCAAGTCAATGACTGAAAAAGCATTTTCATCATCTTCCTTAGCTAATGCAAGAACCTACTGGAATTGTTTGTGTTCAGCAGAACAAAACTGGTGTTGTGGATCACAAAGTTGGGATAAATATCTCCCCCTTTCTGCTTGGTCTTCCTCATTTTCAGATGAGAGAGAGGAGATACAGGTCTGAGCTTTGCCTGAGTCCCTGTAGCAGAACTTACCCATAGCCACCCAGTAATTCTGGATCACCCACCAGCCAGCACTCACAACAGGGAGCAAGGAGCCTGTTCCCAGCCTTTCCTGGCTGTCATCCTTTGGTGTCCGTGTCTCTGGTGGAGAAAGAGCCAGCGCCACCTCCATTCCCCACCAGATTTGCCTTTCTCCCTGCCTTCAGCTGCTCCTTTGCAGGTGCACCTGAGAATGGAGGGCAGCACAACTGCTGCAGAGCTATCTTGGGTTCCCCTTCAGCTGTGGACCCTGGGCATAGACACGGAGGATTTTTGGGCTTTAGAGAGGGGAGGGCTGGCTGTGGGGCTCAGTGGCACACAGAGAAGTTGGGAACGGTGTGTGCCACGGGGAGATCAGGGTTTTGCCAGGGAGTTTCTCAAGAAGGGAAATGTGACATAATTCAAGATCTGTGCCACATCATTTCTCTTTTCACTGCTCATGGACAACAAAATGCTTTCTCTGCAAGGAGCTAGAGCGCTGCCTCCTTCCTCCCATCTAAACTTGCTCTTTAGTCCTTTTGCTTGTGCCTGGCAGCACCAGCTCTGTGCCCAACAGTCTCAGAGCAAAGATGCTGCAAGCGCTGCAGCTGAGAGAGACACCCCTCAATGCCCATTCACCGGTCATTTTCTGAATGCAAATTACTTTCTTTTGGCTGAAAGTCTTTGACTACATCTATTCAGTGAAATAAAGTGTGCTGGGGATGGCTTTCAGGTAATAAGGTTGAGCAGCACAGGGTGGCTTGTGTGTACACTGGTAACTTCTCCCCACTTTGAACCACCACATTTCTGCAAGCTTGCGATGCAGACAGCCATGAGCTATTGTCTATCCCTGTATAATCCCTGATATGGGCACAGATTCTGTCTCATTTCCTCTTGCACTTATGTATCTGCTTTTGTTTTCTTTCCTGGAGTACATCTAGCATAAGAACTTTTAAGAGAGATACCCAACATCTCCAGTCTTGTCCAGAGGGTGGTCGGTTCCCAGTTTGCCATTCTTGATGGTCTACACCCTGCCTGTACAGAAGGAATCACAATGAGCGACAAATCTGACTCTGGCCTTTGTCACCCTGTGTTTCCCTGTCTTCTGCCTCTGTGCTGGGGTGGCTGTTGCCCAGACCTCTACCCTGAAAGCTGCAACTGCCTCCTGCTGTATCGAAGTGTTGTTCAGGAGCTGTGTCTGTTTCTATTGACAGCCTTTCCCATGCAGTGCAGTCACATAACCTTCCTCTGGTCCTCTTGCAAAGTCACCAGGTGCTGGCACAGAGGCAAGAATATTCAAGCTGTTGCCAAAAGTATGCGTGCAGACTTTTTAGGATGAATCCAAAGAATCAAGAAAGATAATCATTAACGCTCTACTGGCATGTTATCTAGAATTATTTCCAGTGAAACATCTTTGAGGAAACTCTTAGTAGGCTAAGCACAGACCTTCCAAATGGCAGGACAATCTTTCAGCATTGCAGCTAGCACATGATTGTTTTAAAACTCCTCTGAAACCTGGATAACTTTCATCATGATATTTATAATGCAGAGTCTGTAGACAGGGTTTTATTTATTTACATTTAAAATTGTCTCTTTTCCAAAGGCATTTATGATTGATGTAACCACTGCTGATGCTTTTGTAGAGAAGAGACAAATCACATATCTCAGTCTGTGAACCTGTGTTGATGAAATACTTTCCTGCTGTCTTCCGCCCCATCCATGATTTTTGCCATGCACTCCTTCCAGCCTTGACTCTGTGGGTCCCTGCAAGTGGCCACAAGCTTTGCCACTCTGGCTGATCCTGAGGAGCAGCAAGGTGGGGATGGGAGGGCTAGTCCCCAGCATCCATAATGGGGAACAGGGCTGCCTGCCCAGCCGGCAGGCCAGGGGCTCCTCCATATCCCATCCCAGCTGGCTGTTCACAGGTTTGTATGAGGCAGTGGCTGGGAGCACTAGCAGCTGCCTGGAACCCTGTTTACATGAAGGCTCTTGCTTCCTTTATCAGTGGTGGAGCTGCATTGGGATATTTTTGGCATAAAAGCTAAGTGGAAACATATCGTGTAAGTGTTCTCAAAATGGGAAGCTCTCAAGAACATACCTTAGATCTGGATAGAGAATATAGTGCTCTGACTTCACCTCAACTGTATTTACTGCAATCTTCAGCTTTTTCTCCCCTCTCTCTTTTCCAGTTATGAGAGGAAGTTCTAGGATGTTCTTAGAAATACATGGATATGCCTAAGGAGCTAATGTGTATCAGACAAACAAAATACTGAGTGTAAAAAGAAGAAAATTACAAAAATAACAGTATAAAAATAGTTGTTTTACAAGCAGAATTGATAATGCCATAGTAAAAAATAAGGAAAAATGAATAAATTTTGCTGGTGAAAGACTGTTTCTTTACTTCCTGTGAGTTCACATATCCCAGAAAGATCACAGTGATAGATAAAATGAGCTGAACCTTACATCAGATAGGTTCACATCACAGAGATGATCTGTATCAGAAAAGACTTTATTCATGGATAAGGACACATATCTGTGTGTTGCACATAACTAAATTGGCTCCTCACACTGTGCAGTTTAAAAATAATGTTAGTAGCAGAAATTGACTTCAGTCTTGAATGTGATTATTTATTTCAGTAAAGGCCATATATTTGTGCAGCAAGTGTGTCATTCAGTGAGTAGTTGCACATTACTGTAGCACCCAGAGACCCTTGTTGGACATCCCAGAGCTGTTTCAGGAGTGAGACACCCAGTCTGTAGTTTTCTCTAGTACCAATCTGTCTCTACTAGATCTCTACTACTCTCTCTACTACCCAGCCTGTGATTTCTCTGTAGTTTTCCTGTGGTTTCTCTCCTCACCAGTTCTTCACTT